CACACACACACACACACGCAAACGCACACACACACACACACACACAGACCGGAAACATTTACAGTCTGCTTTGTGGCTTCATTAGCATATTTATGTATCAATAACTTTTTCATCTAAACAATACAAAGGTAAAACCATCATCCCTATAAAAAAATAAATAATAAAAAAATGCCTGCCAGCACACCAGAGACATTGAAAGACTACAAGGAATCTGTATCGCATACAAACTCAATTTCAGAAGAGAAAGAAGGAAATCAATAGTGCAGTATTCAGATTATGTGTGAGAGCGGTTTGAATCTTCTTCTGTTCCCTTCAATTCACAATAAATAGCCAGAAAGTCTTTTTTTTCACACTAAGGAGTCTCATTTAATGTTTGCAGACTTTGGTTATTGCTGCCAATTCAACATACACTTCAGAAAAAAAAAAAAAATCTTTCAATATAAGATGCATGTTTAGTAGGAAAGACAGCTGAGCTTGTTGCTCTGACGGCATTTGAGTAGCTTGAGGAAGGTCTCCATCTTGTGGGCGTCCTTCTTGAAGCAGATGAGTAGGTTGTAGTCCCTGAGAACGGACTCCAGCACCTCTGGGGACTGTTCATTGTATGGGGTCAGCGTGTGCTCGAAGATAGACGAGGACGTCAGAATCCCTTCATCCAGCATCTGGGGAGAAACCGGAGTGAAAATGCTGCTTGGCACGGTTGCAATGTGAGACGCTGCGTTGTTACTGATTTACCTTGCGGATGAGGACCACCACACCCTGCTCAAGGCTGAGCAGTTTATCAGACACCCACTTGGTCTTGTTGAGCAGAGCGTCGGGGGCGTCATCGTAACGATTAAGAGTAGTTTGCAGATAGATCAAGGGTTCCATCCACGATTGCACCAGCATCAGGACCGAGTGAAGCAGCCATTTGTCCTGCATAAAACACACCGGAGATGTCAAAAGGCTCATTTTATGAAAAATCCAATATGCATTGATTTATTTTGTCTTTTAAGATTTTGATATACTGACAACATACTGTAACTTTCAGAACTTCTTCTCCAGTCCAAAAGGAGCATTTATTACTAAGCTGCGAAAACGACTCGCTTGAACTTTCTGACTTGAGAAACATGAATACATTAACACACATTCGCCCACATTTACACACCAACAAAGCATGTTTGGTGTTTAAGCATCAGGACCGAGTGAAGCAGCCATTTATCCTGCATAAAACACACCGGAGATGTCAAAAGGCTCATGTTATGAAAAATCCAATATGCATTGATTTATTTTGTCTTTTAAGATTTTGATATACTGACAACATACTGTAACTTTCAGAACTTCTTCTCCAGTCCAAAAGGAGCATTTATTACTAAGCTGCGAAAACGACTCGCTTGAACTTTCTGACTTGAGAAACATGAATACATTAACACACATTCGCCCACATTTACACACCAACAAAGCATGTTTGGTGTTTAGAATCCATCCCAACAAAGTCACCAAGATGAGTTATTATTCCTAAACACCAGAAAAAAGATATACACAATTCCAGTTTGCATGCTACTAACAAAAGCTGATTATGATCATGATGCACATTTCAGGATGTGTGTTGTTCTTATTGTAATGCGGACCAGGGTTATTATAGTTTCATAAAAAAAAAAAAAAAATATATATATAATATATATTGAAATATAATAAATATATTTTATATAATATAGAACATTTATAGGATATAGAAATAGTATACAATTTAGCTGAAATAAAATAAAATTTCTAATTTTCTTTTAGGTTAACTTCATGCACTAAAATAAATACAACTAAAAATGAAATAAAAATGACCAAAAACCACATAAAATCTCTCTCTCTCTCTCTCTCTCTCTCTCTCTCTCTCTCTCTCTATATATGTGTGTGTGTGTGTGTGTGTATGCATGTATATAGTATAAGTATATATTAGTATAAAACATACACAAATATTTTTATTAAAAAAAAAAACTATAAAAGTGTCTCAATAATACTAAAATAACATTGATTCAAACATTGAAAAGAGGCTGTTATTGAAAGATGAGGCATCAGCAGCTGTATTGGACCCGACATGAAACATCCAAGCTTCAATTTCACATGCGGAAAAGGCATCAATCTCAAGAATAAACAAACAAACAATTTATCATATAAATAAATAATGACCCCATTTACAGACTTCAAAATCTAAACGGATTAACATTGTGAATACAGCAGTCAAGACCACTTCATAAGTCAGCACAACCTCTCAGTGAAGGCGAGGTTACAGGAGGTAATCCATTTTCAATATTTTTGCAAAACTTTTTCTGTACTGTAGCTCCAGAAGAATTTTCAGAGACTGTCAAATGTCTAAATCAATTGGAAAGACATGTTTACTTTGGCTGTGAACACTGGTGGTGTGACAAGACTCATTAACTAAGAAGCTAAAACACTTTGTGGGAAATGTTGAAATTGATTTCAGCAGGTGGAGAAAGAAGATATATTGAAAAGAAAACAGCCTATTTGGTGACAGAGGCAATTTTGTTGAAAAGAAAGGTTAGTCTCTTCATTGAAAGAGCTGTCACACAGTAGTGCATTAGATGAAGAAGACAGCCTGTCGTCGCAGACTTTCACACAATACTCATTAAGCAGAGCTAATTTGTTCAGAGCTGGAATACATGGTTCAAGTATCAGTTTTCCAGTGAAATGCTTAATCTGTCCTGACATGCATGGATGGATGTGAATTAAATCTGCCAATAGGATGAGAAAAATAAAGTTAATTCAAAGAGAAAACAAACAATATTATTTTCTCACCCCATTGGCATTTTTATTATTATTCTTTTTTATTTATTTTATTATTATTATTATTATTTTTTCAACGTTCAATCAGTGTTTTGATTTTGATTGTCTAATGTTCCTAAAATATGATTAATTTACTTGGAAGCAAAATTGTGGAACAGACACTGAATTAGGTTGTATTATATATATATATATATAGTTATATATATATATATATATAAGTTCCCTGTATTTTGCTTGATATATGCTTATAAATAAATAATTAATTAATTAAATAAATAAATACATACATAAATAAATAAAGCAAGTAAATAAATAAATAAATAAATAAATAAATAAATAAATAAAGTGGGTACAAAAATAAACCTAATTCAAGATGTGTTCTCTGAAATCAAATCTTATATGAATACTTAATATCACTTAATATCTCTTTTTTTTTTCTGTTTTAAGCATATTTAGATACTTATTACTGGAAAAAAAGGTAAAAATACAGATTAAGACATGTTTTTTTTTACATTATGTAGCTTATATACGATGTACTGTACAATTTAATACTTAATATGTACTTTGAAGTGTCACTATAAATCCCCAGATCCACAGAAATGTAATCCACATAGTTTGATAATGTTAAAAAAGAAAGAAAGAAACAATAAATAAAATAAAGAAAGAATGAAAGAATGAATGAATGAATGAATGAATGAATGAATGAATGACAGACAGACAGACAGACAGACTGAATGAATGAATGAATGAATGAATGAATGAATGAATGAATGAATGAATGAATGAATGAATGAATGAATGAATGAATGAATGAATGAATGAATGAATGAATGACAGACAGACAGACAGACAGACAGACAGATAGATAGATAGATAGATAGATAGATAGATAGATAAATACATAAATAAATACATAAATAAATAGTTAAGAATTATATGTGTTACTTGCAAACAATCTAAACCTCCTTTTGGGGGCTGAAACATCTCGAGTCTATAAGGCTTCTCACGTCACAATGCTAGTTTATATTTCCAGCATAAAATCAATGAAACATCTCCTCACCGATATCTGCTGAATTTCATTCTTGGAGCCTGGGATTGGGAAGGGTTTGGTGTGGCACAAGTTTCCTCCCTGACTCCTCAAAGCATGCAGAGGGTACGGGACGAACATATCCTCCTGTAGGACACACGGATCATGAAGATTTGGAAAGCTTAGAGGAGACTTGACTCTCTGTTTATCTGTTTTAGATGTGTCATTCAGGCAGCAGTTGACTCTGAGATTTGACTAATTTAAGGTTTTCAGTGCAGTGCCAATAGTTCATTTGAAACAAAATATATAATAATTACTCACATATGTCACTTCAGACAACAGAAAAGCCTTCCTTATAAATGTGAGAATGGAGATTTGAAGTGAGAAATACAATTATACCATCATTCTCTTCATGTTTTCCCACTGCGAGGAGACAATCTACCTAAGACATCTCACAGTGTTTATAATGAGTCTGATTATTCTTTAAGATTACAGTCTCATTAATTCAAAGTCATGCACACAGCCGGCAGTAATGAAGCAAGGCTGATTAAATGAAACAGAATAATGACATTAAATGAAAGAAAACTAATAGCTAATAATATATCAGCTGATGAGATGAAATGAAATTTGTTATCTGATTCTGTTTAATATTTCTTTAAGAAAAAAACAAATGCAGAGATTTAGCAACAGTTAATTCATGTGAAAACTATACTGTCAAAAATTATAATTCAACTACATTTGGAATAATAAAATATTTCATTTCTGTCTTGTTTTCCAGTACAAATATCTAATGATTCCTAAATCAATAGACATTTACTTGAGATGCAAAATTATTTCTAAAATTATTTGTCTTACCTCACTTCATTTTTAGTCTTGAACTCACTTCATTTTTTATAGATTTTTCAGAAAATGTGACTTGTATCATTGTGATCTAATGAGGTCAGAAAAATAATATTGTTTGCAGTGTTTATACAGTATGTTGTAGTGCCACACAGTGAATATGAAATAGACTGGAAAAAAAAAATCATATTATTTTTGTCTTGTTGTCCAGTACAAATATCTAGACAATCATCAAGAGACACTTACTTAAGAAGAAAAATGAATTAAAATATGAAGTCTTTTTTTGCCCTAAACATATATAATAATAATAATAATAATAATAATAATAATAATAATAATAATAATAATAAGGGCATTTAAAAACAAGAAATAATAACTGCCAATGGGGTAGGAGATCCCCCCCCAAATTGTTGTTTTAGGCTTAAAATCGCTTAATTTTTATAGATTTTTCAGGAAACACAACTTGATATTTTGTGTCAATGGGGTCCAGCAGGGTCACAATATTCTTGTTTTCCTTTGAATTAAGTTTATTTTTCTCACCCCATTTTTTGATTGTTTCTTTTTCTTGCTTTAAGCATAAACATACTCATTTTTTTCTTTTTCTTTTTTTTTCTCTTTCAGAAAACAAGACAGATTATGCAAATTGCTTATCAAGTAAATGTGTTTAGATATTTGTACTGGAAAACAAGACAAAAATACTAAGTAAGCAAATTATATTTTTCTTCTTTTTTCTTGTTTTAGGCTTAAGTTCACTTAATTTTTAAATATTTTTTCAGAAAACATGACTTAATATCTTGTCATTTTGCCTCAAGTAAATGTTTCTTGATTGGATTATGTTTAGATCTCTCTCTCTCTCTCTCTCTTTACAGTATAAAGACTTACAGTGAATAATAAAGATCAGACAGACTCTGCAGAGATGGTTCACTCACAAAAAGAGTACAGGACTCTTCAGAGACGCGGTAGATGAGCTCTGCATGTTGGATGACACGATCCAGAAGTTTCTCTTGAGAGATTGAAGCACATTGGGTGAGCGATCCCGTCTCGTCTTTGCAGTCCAGAGGAACAGCGTGAGAAAGCCAGCAAGGCCATAGCGACTCACACCACAGCCAGGCCTGCAGAACTGTTGAAACGCACACACACACACACACACACACACACACTCGTGACAAGATAACCACACCATAACTGAGATTCACTTCAAAGATTCACTTTAGCAAAGATACAGCTGAACTCTTAAGCTATAATATCCTTAGAAATATTTTTGCTCTCTGTAGAGATCACATATTTGATAAGCGAGCGCTGTTTTCATATCGATGCTAATGCATTTCTTCCAGGCTATAGCTGTGGGCAGATTTCCTTGCAAAGAGCAAATACAAATCTGGAGTCAATGTACCTTTAAGCTTGTTCATTTTGCACAGATTTGGCTATGGTCAGTTGCCTGCATTCGAGACAAAGACACTGGCTTTATATAGCAGTGATTGGTGAATATTCTCAGAGATCCATAGATTCATGAACTCACCTGCTCGAGTGTAAGAAGAGCCGTGGCCTTCTCCTCAGACTCCTGCATATGCAGGCCTTTAACCTGAGATATATATATCTTTTAAAACATTACTTTGTTATACAAAAAAAACTAATATTTTATACTACTGCTAATATGCCTATATGGTACATATGCTATATATATACAGTGGGTACGGAAAGTATTCAGACCCCCTTAAATTTTTCTTTTTATATGTACTGTTTATTTATTTATTTAAATAAATTGCTGTAACACAAATTGCTGTAACAAAAATATCACAATAAAATTGATTTTAAATATATTACAATAGAATATATAAAATAGAACACATTAAAATTTAAATTGTAATAGTATTTCACATTATTACCATTTGACTATATTTTTAATCTAGCAAGTGAGTATAAGTGAGGATAAGAGAAAACAAAAAACATTAAAAAAATCTTACTATATTTGTAATGTGTGTTATGTTTTATATATATATACAGTATTCTTGTTTTTCAATATCAATTTCAATATAGGCATATATGCACGTTTAAAACATCATTATTTCTAATGAAATGTATAAAAACAGCAGCTGAAAAGCAGCTGCAAATAACTAAATATTTTGCAAAAGCTACAGAATGAAATGTTACTGGAAATATTGTATTTCTGCTGTCAAATTAATTTAAAAGAAAGAAAGTTCAGTTAATGTCGCTGTTTTTACTTTCTCGCCGAAACTGGTTTCTTTATGACATTCTGTCTGAGGTCACCTACACAAGCACAGATAATTATACCATAGCATTTTTTTTTTAAATCTCTCTCTTATGATTTTTTTTTTTTTTTTTTTGGTTGCATCCTGTTATCTTTGTGATTTATTTAATTTAAGCATTTGACATTTTTATATAATTAAGACTTCTTCAAAGCATGTTGTCGGGAGGAAGGTGATGGTGTTCTGGCTGCTGTCTGTGTTGATGAGATGAGGTGATTTGTCTCTGCTGGTCTGTGTAGATGCTACAGGCTGCCAGCCAAAGCAATCTCTCTCAGAACGTAATCCACATCAGGATACTGAAATAATGCCATCGCAGGTGGGCGGCGGACTTCATTAAGTCCTGAATATTGCAATTCTCTTCTTGATTATGATGTGTCCTACATATTTGAGTCCCCAAACCACACAAATGTGGCTTAATCCAATTTTAGCATTAAAGGGATGGATTGAGTCTGTACATTTTAGATTTGAGCCCACTTTGTTGGACTGATTCACATTACAGAGGAATCAACAGACATTACAGGTGCATCTCAATAAATTAGAATGTCGTGGAAAAGTTCATTTATTTCAGTAATTCAACTCAAATTGTGAAACTCACGTATTAAGTAAATTCAATGCACACAGACTGAAGTAGTTTAAGTCTTTGGTTCTTTTAATTGTGATGATTTTGGCTAACTTTTCCACGACATTCTAATTTATTGAGATGCACGTGTATATTACAGCTCTATCGCTGTGATCGTCTATTTGTGTAAGCCAAAGCACCCACTCTATAATACGTTTGAAATATGCTGCATTTCAGGGAATAGTCAGAATGTTCCAGAAAATCTCCCAGTTTCAGCTCAAAAACAGAAAATGATTTGGAAACAAACAACTGTATGTTATATATAAACTCAGTTCTTAATAGCCATCCGTACACACAGATATATGCACATACATTCAATTTCCATATATGAAATATACTGTCATATAAAGTAAAAACATGAAACATATGAAATGTATGAAACATAAATGAAACTTATTACAAATTGGAACAATTGCATATATATATACATACAGTAGATACACTGTAAAAAACCCAACTTGAAAAAAGTTTAAATGACTGGTTTTGTTGTGTTGGGTCAGCAAAAATCCATGAAAAAGTCAGTACAACTAAGTTTAATACATTTATTCAGCTTAAACCAAGTTTTTTTCCATAAACTTAAAAAGATGAGTTCTGTGAACAGCGCTTTGCAAGTTCATCCAAAGAAACTTCTGCCAATTTATAAAATTGAGTGAAGTCAATCTCATTAGGGAACTGGCCACCCATATAGTAAGACACAAATGCAAATTTTTTGTATAAAATGTAAACATTTGTTTACTTCAGGACAACGAAGAAAAATAGTTAGTGATTTTTAAAATAACTAAAATGCTCCTTAATGTATAATTGTAAGATCATAATATTGTACAATAACAACAACAACAACAACAATAATACTTATTATATTATTAGAATTACACAGTTAATAATAATAATAATAATAATAATAATAATAATAATAATAATAATCCTTATTATTATTATTTACTGTGTAATTCTTAAAAAGTGTACAGGATTATTATTATTAATAATAATAAAACGTGCCTAATTTTTAATTGTATTATATATTATTGTACAATAATACAATTAGTATAATAGTACAATAATAATACAATTAAATATGCAGGAAGACTTTTTTAATTGTGAAGTTTCGTTAGAAGTGAACGTCTATGCGCTCGTCTCACTAGTTCAGAACACCAATAATCCAGAGGAATGTTTTTATGGTAAGTGTGCTTTTTTTCGTTTTTGATTATAGTTGTTTTTTCTTAAAGTCACACTTTTCCCCAGTTAACTTGGTGGACTACACCACTACATTTTCTTTGTAAGTTATCAAACATTACTGGATGTTTAAATCTAGCTGTATTTTAATCCTGTTACATGAAATAATTACGTTTTTGTTGCGATGGATTTTGCTGCACATTTTAAGTTGCCTTTTGAAAATAGTGCATGCGTGTAGTTTATGATGGTCACAGACGATTTTTTAGCTTCAGACTCTGATTCCATCCAGTCGGAGATCAAACATGTTTGATATTTTGAGCCGATTTTAGAACACACGTTGTTTTCATTTGTCACGCGTCTCAAGGCAAAGCATTAACTACACAGAGCCTTGTTCACTGACGAGCTGCGCAAAACCACGTTAATATTCGCGACTATTATATATATATATTGATATTATTTTTGCGCAGCTCGTCAGTGAACAAGGCTCTGTGTAGTTAATGCTGCTCAATGTGAAAGCACGCAGGTGATGGAGATTTGCCGCTGATTTCCATCACAGACACAACATGGCTCTGTGGGGACTCCCGTTTTACCTCAGGGAACCAAATCTCCAAGATTTATTTGGTAGGTTTTCAAATTTTGTTCTTCTCATATTTTCATTTGGGTTGTTCTCATCAAGTGTTTACATCAGGTTAGCACATAATGCACCATGTTTTGTTAGAAATAGCGTATTTGAGCTTTGATTTTTATATCTACACTCTTGCTCAGCCAGTTTTCAATAAATTTACATCATTATTTCTTAGGACACTGATAAAGAGGAGTGAAACTGGGCATCCTTGAAGTCATGGAGGACTAAACTTCTGCATCATCCTGGAGGAAACTGTGGTAATGGAGGACCATCTGACTTTCCCACTGCTTTAATGGTACTCTTTGGACTTCTCTATGTGCTGATTATCGACTTTCCAAAAGGTCTTAAATACACATTTGAGTGTTTTGCAGATAGGTGCACTTCTATTTTATAGACCATCCTTCATATTTTGAAAGTTTGTGTTCCTCATGTACATGCTGCTGTTTAGTCATGTTTCATGTTTAGTGGCATAGTTTTGTAAAACTGTTTTAACTGCAGTGTTTAATTTCACTGTTGCAGTGTTGAATCACTTTGGCTTAAATATTTGTGAATTTAAAAAGCATGGAATTACAGGATTTTTATATTATGATGATAGCAGTTCTATCTATGTATTGATGCAGGTTTTGGCAGGTTAGTGCAATATATGAAATTTTGTTTCATGTGAGCAATATTTAAAGGGAGTGTTTACCCAAAAATGAAAATGTATCATCATTTACTCTGTTCTATCTCAAACTCATATGACTGCCTTTCTTCTTTAGAACACAAAGATATTTTCATAGACTGATATGTTTACATCCATAAAATGAAAAGTAAAAGGGTTTCAAAACTTTTAAGATAAATATGAGCTTGAGACATAAGGGAATTATCACTTTTGGGTGAACTATCCATTTAAGCAAGGCCGTAACCATGTCTTGAACATTGGGAGGATAGGCCTAGGTCAAATTAGATTTTTATTTTTATTTTGCTTTGATTGGCCATCTCAATCATTTTGACATTGCTGGTAAACTCCTGAGGCAGACCAGCCTAAAGATGTAACTTTTAAATCTTTTTGTAATCCAGTGAGCAGCCATTTTTTTTGGGGGGGGGGGTGCCTTGCTCAAGGGTATTGGAAGAGAGCACTGGTTATTCACTCCCCCACCTACAATCCCTGCCAGTACTGAGACTCAAACCTGCGACCTTTGGGTTACAAGTCTGATGAATATTATTTAAATACTTACAATTTAATTAAATTTTACAATTAATTTTTTTTAATGAAGCAATATTATAATTTAATAAGTAGTAAATCTATAATATAATAAATACATATAAATAGTATTTAATATATAATATAATGTATTATTTCTTAGTACCAATTTCCAGTAGCATTTTTTTTTGTTCAGTCAACTTCAGGCATTTGAGTTCTACAGACAGAAAATGTTGAGTTGGCACAACTTAAAAAGGTTTGTTATAGAATCGTTGCACATCTCTAGAAAACTAACAATCTTGAGTTAACTCAACTAAACAGTTTTTGTATGACTGACAGCTTCTTTTCAGTCAGTATGACTGCTTTTTTACAAAAGTTGAGTGAACAAGAAAAAGCTAGGGGAAATTAGTACTAAGATTTTTTTGTTGTGCTGGCTTAATTTTTTTTACAGTGTAGACATGTGTTTTAAAAATAATTTCAAAAACATAAAAGCACAGATTTATTCTAATTTGTTAATAATGCACTATTATTATTATTATTAT